TTACCGTCCGGTCTATACAAATATGTTTCTGTGTCGAGTGACTCAGGACACCGTTGACCATTTGTTGCCATATAGTAACAAGTTTCAACAATTTTTCTTTGTAGTTTCCACATTTGAGAATTTTTGTCCTCAGAGTTCTTTAAGTGTTTCGTTTTTTTAGTTGTTTTTCTTTTCCAAAAGTGACGATGCGTTTCGCTCACGATGTTGCCATCTTCCAGAAAAAATTATTTTGTCCACACAGAACAAAAAACAAGGTTTCACATTAAAAAAAGATATTTGGGACCCCCGAAATAGTCTGAGCTTCTTAAAAAAAAAAGATAGTTGGGGCCTCCGAGAAGGTTTCACCTTCTGTAAAATAAGACAGTTGGGACCCCCGAGAAGGTTTCACTTTCTTAAAAAAAAAAAAAAAAACCAGTTGGGAACGAAAAGGTTTCACATTATTAAAAAAAACTAGTTGGGACCCTCGAGAAGGTTTCAACTTCTTAAAAAAAGATAGTTGGGACCTCCGAGAAGGTTTCAAGTTTAAAAAAAAAAACGGTAGTTAGGACCCTTGAGAAAGTTTCACATTATTTAAAAAACAGTTGGGGCCCCCGAGAAGGTTTTACATTTTTAAAAAAGACAGTTGGGACCCCCAAGAAGCTTTCACATTTTTAAAAATATACGTTTGGGTCCCCCGAGAAGGTTTTACAGTTTTAAAAAAGTCCCAACTCTTTTTTACATTTTTTAAAAAGACAGTTGGGACCGCCGAGAAACTTTCACATTCTTAAAAATACGCGTTTGGGGCCCCCGAGAAGGTTTCACATTCTCAGAAAAATACGTTTGGGGTCCCCGAGAAGGGTTTACATTTTTAAAAAGGACAGTTGGGACCCCCGAGAAGGTTTCACATTCTCAAAAAAATACGTTTGGGGCCCCCGAGAAGGTTTTACATTTTTAAAAAACACAGTTGGGACCTCCGAGAAACTTTCACATTCTTAAAAATACGCGTTTGGGGCCTCCGAGAAGGTTTTACATTTTTAAAAAAAGGCAGTTGGAGCCCTCGAGAAGGTTTCACATTAAAAAAAGACAGTTGGGACCCCCGAGAAGCTTTCACATTCTCAAAAAAATACGTTTGGGGCCCCCGAGAAGGTTTTACATTTTTAAAAAAGACAGTTGAGACCTCCGAGAAACTTTCACATTCTTAAAAATACGCGTTTGGGGCCCCCGAGAAGGTTTTACATTTTTAAAAAAGATAGTTGGGACCCCCGAGAAGGTTTCACATTCTCAGAAAAATACGTTTGGGGTCCCCGAGAAGGGTTTACATTTTTAAAAAAGACAGTTGGGACCCCCGAGAAGGTTTCACATTCTCAAAAAAATACGTTTGGGGCCCCCGAGAAGGTTTTACATTTTTAAAAAAGACAGTTGGGACCTCCGAGAACCTTTCACATTCTTAAAAATACGCGTTTGGGGCCTCCGAGAAGGTTTTACATTTTTAAAAAAAGGCAGTTGGAGCCCTCGAGAAGGTTTCATATTAAAAAAAGACAGTTGGGACCCCCGAGAAGCTTTCACATTCTTAAAAATATACGTTTGGGAGCCCCGAGAAGGTTTTACATTTTTAAAAAAGACAGTTGGGACCCCCGAGAAGGTCTTAAAAATATACATTTGGGTCCCCCGAGAAGGTTTTACATTTTTAAAAAAGTTCCAACTGTCTTTTTTACATTTTTAAAAAAGACAGTTGGGACCCCCGAGAAGGTTTCACATTCTCAGAAAAATACGTTTGGGGCCCCCGAGAAGGGTTTACATTTTTAAAAAAGACAGTTGGGACCCCCGAGAAGGTTTCACATTCTCAAAAAAATACGTTTGGGGCCCCCGAAAAGGTTTTACATTTTTAAAAAAGACAGTTGGGACCTCCGAGAAACTTTCACATTCTTAAAAATACGCGTTTGGGGCCCCCGAGAAGGTTTTACATTTAAAAAAAAAGACAGTTGGAGCCCTCGAGAAGGTTTCACATTAAAAAAAGACAGTTGGGACCCCCGAGAAGCTTTCACATTCTTAAAAATATACGTTTGAGAGCCCCGAGAAGGTTTTACATTTTTAAAAAAGACAGTCGGGACCCCCGAGAAGCTTTCACATTCTTAAAAATATACGTTTGAGAGCCCCGAGAAGGTTTTACATTTTTAAAAAAGACAGGTGGGAGCCCCGAGAAGGTCTTAAAAATATACATTTGGGTCCCCCGAGGTTTTACATTTTTAAAAAAAGACAGACCCTCGAGAAGGTTTCACATTAAAAAAAAGACAGTTGGGACCCCCGAGATAGTCTGAGCTTCAAAAAAAAGGTAGTTAGGTTCCCCGAGAAGGCTTCAGTGTAAAAAAATGGGTCGAAAGCTGTTTCGACAGAACTTACCTCGCACCAAAAGTACAGTGAAATATATCCAGCATTTTTGAGTTGAGTTTTTACTTTACAGAATTTTGTGATGAATGATGTGTCTAATACTAAGAATAACAATATTGTATTCCCAAAATTTTCTGGGAAAATGGAGTGAGCTGTTCCTGACTTAATCAATAAGATAAATTTGACACATTCTTTTTTTTTTTTTTTGGAACCACATGTATAAGCAAGTCTAAAAAATATGAATGCAATGATAAATTGCAAGTAAAAATCATTATATTTTGGACATTTCGGGTAGATTTAGAAATTTAACTCGTCGGGGGAAATTTGCAATTTAACACCTTTAAATTTCACAAGTTTTTACAAGATTAATAGGGACAAAATCAGTTTTATCATAACAAATACAAACCCCGCCCACCTGCCCCCTATTTGCTCAGAGGATATGTCATTTGCCAAATTCAGTCTTATCTTGCCAAGAACTAGGCCCGCCCACCCGCCCGCTATCTTCTCCGAGGATGTCATTTGCCAAAATCAGTCTTACCTTTCTAAATACTAACCCCGCCCACCCGCCCCCTATTTTCTCAGAGGATATGTCATTTGCCAAAATCAGTGTTACCTTACCAAGTACTAGGCCCGCCCACCCGCCCGCTAGCTTCTCCAAGGATATGTCATTTGCCAAAATCAGTCTTATCTTACCAAATACTAGCCCCGCCCACCCGCCCCCTATCTTTTCAGAGGAAATGTCATTTTCCAAAGTCAGTCTTATCTTACCAAGTACTAGGCCCGCCCACCCGCCCGGTATTTTCTCAGAGGATATGTCATTTGCCAAAATCAGTCGTATCTTACCAAGTTCTAGCCCCGCCCACCCGCCCCCGGTTTTTTCAGATGATAAGTCATTTGGCAAAATAAGACTTATGTTAGCAAGTATTAGCCCCGCCCTTTATTTTCTCAGAAGGTAATATTTGCTTGAACTATCCTAGAGAGCTATCCTGTGAGAAAATAGGGGCGGGTGGGCGGCGCTAGCACTTACCCAGAAAAGACTGATTTTGACAAACGCCATACTGTCTGAGAAAATAGGGGGAGGGTGGGCGGGGCTAGCACTTGCTAAGATAAGACTGATTTTGACCCTATTAAACTTGTAAAAACTTGTTAAATTTAAAAGGTGTTAAATTACATATTTCCATAGTAAGGAGTTAAATTCCTAAATCTGACTGGATGTTTATTTTTTAATAACTCAGTCATTAATTTTTTGAGACAAATAAAAATATTAAATATATATTAAAAATAAATCAGAAGTATAGACTCATCGTATTTTGCACATTTAAGATGGGATTTATTCAGCAATATTTTGAGGTGACGTCATCAATTTTTTAGGGAGGATTAATTAGCAAATACATTTTGATAAAAAAATTACCATGCTTATGATAATTTTAAAACATGTCCAAGATTCCAAAGGATTCATTAATTTTTTTTAGTTAAAAAAATATGAATGCAGTGATAAATCACACACTGATCATATTTTGCACATTTTAGATAGGATTTATCCGGCAAAATTTTGAGATGACATCATCAATTTTCTAGACGGGATAAGCAAATATATTTTGATTAAAACCATAAATTTAAAACATTGCAAGATTTCAAATCATTCAGTCTGGCAGATTCAAAATTAAATTGCAAAATGTTGGTTTATAATTTTGATTTTTTTCCAAAAATCTGGACGTTTTGGGTAAAAATCCAACACGGAGTCATAAACCACATGTGTAGGACTATGTTACTTTAGACAATTTTGAAATGACGTCATCGCAGAAATTTCTTCACGCATCTTTTAAATATTATAAAATTTGATTTTGCGATTTTCGTTTTGTGATGGCCTCTATAAAGTAAAAACTAGTGGCGTATTTGACACCCCGCGGTCCACACAAGTGTAGACAATATGAAATATATTTAAAGCACATAACCAACGGAAAAAATATAGAACTTCCAAACTTGAAGGACTTTTATTCGGCAAAATTGTAAGATTTTTTCGTACTCTTGGGGTCATGAAACGTCGAGAAAGCGTAGAAGTGGTCAGTCGTCCAATGGATTCGATTACAATCCAGTTGTATTATTGCAGGGCGTGTTCAGGGCTGTCCCAACCTTTGATTTTTTTCATTTGGATTAATAGCCTCCCTAATGTATTCTGAGGAAATGCGGTGAAATCGTGCGTGTTTCATTTTTATGATGAATTAATCCATTTTACGGGACATTTTTAACATCTGACTTGATATCCATTACACGTGTAGGGGCGATACATTCGTGAAGAGTTAATTTCGAAACTCCCAATTTGGGTTAAGTGAGGAAAACTAAGAACACACAACGATTACAAACGTGAGTGAGTGTTCTTGGTGGTTTTTTATAGCTGACATTAGCTATAAATATTTTATTCGAATTTTTTGAAACAATACAATAGAATCGTTAACCTTGTGTTATAAAATTTTCAATGGATCGCTTTTGCATAAATTCGCCTATTGTCTTTTTTCTAAGTGTGTGAATCCTTTACGTCGTACACCCCCAGGCGCCGTGGATATTTTCTTCCCGAATCGTAATATCCCGCCCCAGCCGGTATAAAAATTAATTTCCCTTCTTATTTTTTCCAGAACGGAGGCAGAGTGAACGGAAATGAATTGGATTTGCGTATGATGATCCACCAGAGCCAGGCCGGATGCGTGATCGGAAAAGCCGGCTACAAAATCAAAGAACTGCGCGAGGTGAGTGCTTTTTTCGTTTTTTAATCGCGTTCCCGATATCAGATTTCATCCGGTGGAAATTTTCTGATAAGTTGTACCAATATTTGCTCCATGGAAGTTGGCAGTAGTGGTTCGGGCTCCGAGTCGTCGGTAAACAAACCGAGCTCATGCTTCTGCACAAACATTGCTCTGCTCATTAAAAGTACCTGTCCAAACTTCCACGACCCGAAGGCCGTGCACGTATGTATGCGAACGTAATTATTTATAAAGCAATCTAAAGTTGCGCATAATGCGGGCATATTTCCGAGAGGAATGTTTCAGACATCGGCATCTATGCGACAAATTAATTCTCTTTGGCGCGTCGACGGAACCGCAGCCTTTGCTCTGCACGAAAATTCCCCATTCATTCGGTACGGATTCATAAATAGGAGAGAATTATTGGACCGGGACTGAAATAACACGGGGGTTTGTTTTCGCACGATCTTGATAATCAATCAGGACGTTTAATTAATTGGTCTAGACGGGGTTGTGTCAGTCAAATTTCGCGCCGTCAGGTTTTACAACCGGGGGAATGTTAATCAGCGCGATTAAAGTAATTTACCCATTCTCGGAATTCTTCAGTTTCATGTGGTTAATGGATCCTTGGAAAGCGCCGCTTTTTCCTTACGAGAATCACGTTTTTCTGCGGCTTGTAAAGTGGCTTAATAGATTTTATGTAGTTCCTGCAGCTACCTTGACTCTTTTTTTTTTTTTGGGTCGATTTTTCGACTAAACCAGAATCGCGTTCACAACAACTTTTTTATTAATAATTATGAACGCATAAATTTGACAAAAAAATCGCACATAAACGAGTTTAAAAGTCGACTTTTCTGTAGATCTGCATTGTTTTGGTCCTCTCGCAGTCCTGGAAGGTCGACCGGTTAGGTAATCACGTCCTCAACCTTCACACACTTGACAGATGAAAATCTGGGTTATTTGAATAGTCCTAAGGTCGATGTCCAAATCTATTATTTGATTAATTAGCATTTTGTTTGTTGCTACCAAAGATGGTGCTAATTGCGAGATTGCTAAACTCGGTATGCTCTAGGTCTGCGTTTAAATGGTAATTGAATTTGTAATGCAGACTTTGAAAGTGTTAGCGCAAGATGTTTTTAGAATTTAAAAACTATGCAAAAATATGTTAAAATCTGCCAAGTAAGGACAAATATCAAGATTGCCGAAAATGTGCAAAAACTCAAATATGCAGAAATTAATTAGACTCGATCGATTTGAATTCGTGCAGATTGTAAATCGTTTGAATAATCATAATTATGATTAATTGTGACTACCAGTTTTTCAAGTTCGTGCGTATCGTAGCTGGAATTCGTTAGTCAAAGTATTTATTTATGCAATTATGACGCCCTTGACAAGCGGCTTTAACGTTTTTCAGAGTATTATTTCGCTAGACTTTAAAACGAGCGCAGGTTCGAATCCTACACCCGGCAATATTATATCATTAATTGTGGTGTTCCATCTAAATAATGTGAAGCTATATTGTAATTGTAGGTTAGTGTTTACATTGTTCCTAGAATTTCGGACGTGTATTAAAAAATAACCATTGTGACTGCGGTCATAATAATGGGATTTCGATGACAGTGATGTGTATTATTAACGGGTTGTATACATTTTTTGTTATTGTTTTCATAGGGGAAATTTAGTCGCAGCTGTTGGAACAGATGGGCGTGCAAAAAACTAAATAAATTTACGTTACGGTTGAAAATTTTTTTGGTAAGAATTTCAAAATAATTCATTTCCGAGTACCGCGTGTCACATGCATCAAGGAATATGACACCAACCTGTTGAAGAGAGACAGATGCAACCGTTTTAGTAGTCCGACAGATTTTTTTAACGAAACATTTTGTAACAGACCATTTCCTAATGGCCACTCAAGTTTTATTAGAGCTGGAGACATTTTTACGGCTTAATTTAAATTACTACTGTTTTATTGCTGACGACGTTAAATCTGTAGACAAAACACAAAATAATTCTGCAAATATTTTTACTTCCCGCGCGTAAGCAAAGGAAGTATTGTAATCGAGTCCGTCGGCCGACTCTCTACTTTTACGTTTTCTCGATCTTTCATGACCCCTAGAAGACGAAGAAATAGGTCTCCCATTTCCGTCTGTCTGTCCGTCTGTCCGTCCGTCTGTCCGTCTGTTGTCCCGGATTTTTATTAGACAGATAATCTCCGAAAGTACTCGACCGATTGTTGTGAAATTTTGTACTTATATTAAGAATATCATGTAGATGGTAAAACGCTAACCAAAATTTGTCTAATCATCCCCACCACTAATGCGATGACGTCACTTCAAAATTGTACATAGTAAATGGGTTTTCAATTGTATAAAATAACATAGTCCTACACATGTAGTTTACAACTCTGAATCGACTTTTCACCCGAAACGTCCAGATTTTTGGAAAAAAAATCAAAATTATAAAACAACATTTTGAAATTTAATTTTTAATCTGCTAACCAGAATGCTTTGAAATGTTGCAGATGTTTTAAGGCTATAAAGAGCATCATAAATCTTTAGTCAAAAAATATTTGCTTATCCCCTCCAAAAACTTGATGACGTCAGCTCAAAAGTTTGTGGAATAAATCATATCTAAAATGTACAAAATATGATGAGTCTGTACTTGTGATCTATCACTCCATTCATATTTTTTGGATTTGCATATACAGGGTGACTCAAAAAAATTAATGAATGCGTAAATATATTTTATTGATTTAATCAGGAACTACAAAACCGAATGCTCTGAAATCTTGCAGATGTTTTAAGGTCATAAAGAGCATAATAAATGTTTAGTCAAAATATATTTGCTTATCCCCTCCAAAAACTTGATGACGTCAGCTCGAAAGTTTGCCGAATAAATCATATCTAAAATGTACAAAATATGATGAGGCTGTACTTGTCATTTATCACTCCATTCATATTTTTTGGATTTGCATATACAGAGTGACTCAAAAAAATTAATGAATGCGTAAATATATTTTATTGATTTAATCAGGAACTACAAAACGGAATGCTCTGACATCTTGCAGATGTTTTAAGGTTATAAAGAGCATAATAAATGTTTAGTCAAAATATATTTGCTTATCCCCTCCAAAAACTTGATGACGTCAGCTCGAAAATTTGCCGAATAAATCATATCTAAAATGTACAAAATATGATCAGTCTGTACTTGTGATCTATCACTCCATTCATATTTTTTGGATTTGCATATACAGGGTGATTCAAGAAAATAAATGAAAGCGTAAATTTATTTTACTGATTTACTCAGAAACTACAAAACCGAATGCTTCGAAATCTTGAAGATATTTTAAAATTATCATAAGCATGGTAAATTTTTGATCAAAACGCATTTCGTCGTCCCCCCTAAAAAATTTATGATGTCACCACAAAATTTTGCTGAAAAAATCCTATCTAAAATGTACAAAATATGGTGAGTCTCTTCTTGTGATTTATCATTCCATTCAAATTTTTTCGATTTGCATATACAGGGTGACTCAAAAAAATTAATGAATGCGTAAATTTATTTTATTGATTTAATCAGGAACTACAAAACCGAATGCTTTGAAATCTTGCAGATGTTTTAAGGTTATAAAGAGCATAATAAATTTTTAGTCAAAATATATTTGGTTATCTTCTACAAAAAACTGATGACGTCAGCTCAAAAGTTTGCCGAATAAATCGTATCTAAAATGTACAAAATATGATGAGTCTGTACTTGTGATTTATCATTCCAATCATATTTTTGGATTTGCATATGCAGGGTGACTCAAAAAAATTAATGAAGGCGTGAATTTATTTTATCGATTTAATCAGGAATTAGAAAACCGAATGCTTTGAAATCTTGGGAATATTTTAAAGTTATTATAAGCATGGTAAACTTTTGTTCAAAATGTATTTGTTCATCCCTCCTAAAAAAATTGATGACGTCACCCTTAAATTTTGCTGAATAAATCCTATCTAAAATGCAAAAAATATGATGAGTTTGTACTTGTGATTTATCATTCCATTCATATTTTTTAGATTTTCTTAAGAGGTGGTTCAAAAAAAATTAATGAAGTCAATTTATTTTATTGATTAAATTAAAGGCAACACTTATTATTAGTATTACACCCCAACCAACCCAATTTGGTAGACACAAAATTTGTTAAAGGAAAAACTCGGTTGAAACATAAGGGTAGCACGCTTATTTACATCGACTTTAACATTACAGACCTGCGTTTGTTCACTTGGTTCCGCGAATGTGAAATAGACATGTTTATAATCAACCAATTCTGAATTTCACCGTCAAGAATTAAAATAAAACCCAATGTTTTATATAATAAGCGGAAGTCGAAGCAATAAAACCGATGGTCGTTTTGTTTACAGTTTCTCTGTTTGGCTCTCACGTATGCTGTTACGCTTGTCATCTTAAATTAAGAATGTTTATACATAAATGATTTTCAGTTGCCGTATACGTGAGTAAATTGTTTCGTTATTTTATTGATTATAAAAAATCAATATTCAAAACGACCCAATTCATTTTCCCGAAAATTTGGGAATACAATAATTTTATTCTTAGTATTACACTACATCTATCCCAACTGATATACGTGTCCTTGCAAAAATGTTGATGACGTCATCGCAATTTTAAATTCCCACTACAAAAATGTAATGAGAAAAAAAGACAATAGCCATGCAGTCGTCAAGTTTCCGACAGCGAGGGAAGTACTGTCTAAACTCTTTAGACCAATTTTTTATCCACCGCATTGCTGCAGTCGAACTAAAATAAAAATAATGCAAAAATGCGTTCGTCGCATACCAAGAATTAATCAACTCCAATTGAAATTTTAATAACACGCTAGAAAATATTTCCTCGTTTTATAATTTAAACAAAGCAGCATGAGTTATGAGAATTCCGTTTTTTTTATCGCTTTCAATGGTGTAGAGCGAACGAATTCTATTCATCGCAAAAATAGAACTGAAACTTTA